TTAAAGGCAATCAGTGAGTCAGTGAAACCTCACTTCCTTCATACAGAATCACCAGACGCTAGCTCAATTAAACTCAACAGCTCACAGGTGTTCACAGGAGAATATGCATTTTTTTCCTCTTGAGGAGGCAGACAAATTCTTAATGTGATTAGTTCAATCCAAGGTCTTATGTTGGTGGTTTGAGGTGAAAGAATAATGTCTAACTTAAAAAGACACTCATATTCAGTAATAGGTATATAATGCATGATAAGAAACATGGATGCATTTTCAGTTTACACTGACATTTTATTATATATTGTAGCAAAACCAACCTAGCCAAAGATTTCATTTGAAATATGCTCTTTATAATGTAGAAATTAACTTGCCTGGTGAACATACCTAAATAGGAACCAAATAAGTTGTCATTTAGTGTTACATATAAATAATCATTGAGTATGAAATGGACTGGGAGATGCCTGCACACATTTTTAAAAAGTAAAAACAGCATATTGGTGCAAAACATATATTTGCCTTTTTAAAATTTTATATTCCTGATGCTTTGTACATTCCACTTGTATTTACATTTATGTCACATTTTTTTCAAAGGCTACATTTGGCATGTGACAGCTTATTGAGGGTCTTTTTCTTTCAGTCTCTATAATCTAGATGAGTTTTCTTCAACGAAGGTGTTTACACCCAAGCAATTTCCCTGTCTCCTGTGGCTGCAGCTACAGAACAATTCTGAGGAATGCTCCCTCTGTGTGCGCATGTGTTTGTAATACAGTACACATTCACAAAAGAAATTTGCCTTTCTTGCGTGAGCCACAGCAAGAAGAGTTGCAATTACCCAGAAGCTGGCTGGGCCATGTTTATACAATACAATGGGCAGTCCTATCTGATTGATGAATATAGTGAGGTGCATTGGATATTAATGGTAACAAATGTCTAAGACCTTCAACTCCGATAACAGTGGAATGTAAGAAAAGTTGCAGATAGAGTGGAAAACTGCGGAAGTGTAGGCATTATTTACAACACTAGACCTCAAAGAAAGCAACATGGAATGCATGAGCCTTTAAGTTGGCTACTCATTTCCCCAGATGTTGACATCTGATACCATTAAAAGGCTTCTTTGGAGTAAGTCCAAATAGAATCATGTGATGGCAGGGATGGTATGTTGTATCATCTCTGTTTTACTACAGAATGATTACCTACAATCTTTTCTCTGCACTCTACTTTTGTTTAAAAGAAGTGATTGAACCACAGGTGTTTCCACATGAAGCAGTCTCAAAAAAGCTGAAGACTACATCTGTAAATCAAGCAATGTTTTCTTTTCTTTAAAAGTGTTGACATTGATTTAAAAAAATCCTATGTAATGGAAACCACTCATTATTATCCACCCCTAAGATGCTGCTCATAAACTGCAAAGGAAGCATTCCGTAAGAACCATTACACTTCTACCACAATGCCCAGCAGATTTGAAAGTTGCATGCATCTGCAAAAATGGCAGAAAACATCTATTTCAGTCTTTAGTTAGTTTAAAAACAAATCCTTGTTTTTCTATAGGAAAAAGTCATGTTACCTGCAGGGTTGTTCGTGTTTGTTTTGTTTTATGTTGAAATCTTACGTTATAACCCCTGAGCCCTTTTGAATACTATTGTGCTGCCAGTTGAAACAGACTTTTCATTGCAATCAATAGATAATCAAAACATATTAAATACTACTGTACATGAAGGGCCCACTTCCAGTGTTCCCTGTAAGGTGTGAGCTTCTGCAGCCCCACAGGAGAGAGACTCTGTTTTTTTAGTCTAGGCCTAGGTTTGTGTCCATCAGCAAGATATTTTATCATATGCATAAAATACGTGAGTTGTCCTGTTGCACTTAATATTAATGTATGTAAAGTTAGCAAGAGTGCAAGTACCTTTCTGAATCAAGTCCTTAAACAGCATCAGTATTAGGAAACTATTTTAGTACTTTTTTTTTTCCCTCAGTGAAACAGAAAAGGACTCAGTTTTACAATGCTGAGTGCAAGGTTTGCATAGGAGCCTTTGTATGCTTCTGTCACTTTGTCATGTCCTTTTGGCAGGAAACTCAGAAAAGGAAAACTAATCTTTTTTTTTTTTTTCTATTTCCAAATATTTTATGTCTTTTATAAATCTGGAGAATCAAATGGGAAAAGTCCAGAGGCGATGCATAGGGTGTAGGCCCGATCTTATTTTTACTCACATTTTCTTACATCTTCTTTCTCCGTGCTGTGTAAGATGCTCACTTTAATATCATTATACATTAGTGCTGCAGTTCATCAGGGTAAGCTGCTGGCAGACCACCAGACAGATTCTTTACCTTTCATCCTCAAGTATGCCTCCGTCTGCAGCTCCTATTGTCCATGGGTTTGCCATGTCCAGCCAATGGGAGCTACAGGAAGTGGTGGTCAGCAAGTCCCTGTGTCCTGCACTGCATCCTGTAGCTCCCATCGGCTGGGCACAGTGAACCCATGGCCAGTAGAAGCTGTGAGTATGGATGCAAGGTAAACAATCTGTCTGGTGGCCTACCATCGAGATACTTTGATGAACCACTTGTGGTCTATAGGTTTGCCACCACTGTTTGTATGTTAACATTATGGGTGTATTTTGATCTAATATAAGCCTAAGTGTAAAGGAGCTAAAGTTAGTGCAAGTGCATTTGTTAGAAGAGTCCATTCAGAAAGGGAGCTGGGGTGTGATGGGATTCCCAGTATCCAACCAAGAACTGGGATTCAGGTATGATCCATTAACTCTCCAACATGGGTCATTTCTCACAGTGCTTTGATAGTGACAAGCAGCAAGCATCACCAGGTGCTGTTGTAGCCAAAATATGATGTTTGTGTGATTTATACAGTATAATATGTGTAATACAGAAGTAGTATGTTTTAGGATAATATAGTGTTCGGTTTCATATGTTATACCTGCCACCAGTGCTCCATCTAAGATTTTCCATCCATGAGTGGAGTGAGTTTAGGATTATGCAGCAATATGAGGTCATGTGCACTGGTTTTGGATGTTTGCCACCATGGTACCCAATTTATTCAAATACACATTCCCGGCTTCTGGAGCAGACCCCACCCTGCCATGTGGCATGTCCCATTCCTGGCCACCAGAACAGATCCCAGCACATTGGCCATGCAGCAAATCCTGTTCCTGGCCCCAGCTGCCAGAACAGGTCCTGGTCCCCCGACCACATGGCAGCTCTGGTGCTGGAGCAGGCCTACCCCACCACATAGTCACGGGCAGATCCTGGCCCCCTGACCCAACACCTCCCTTAATATGCTGGAGCAGCCACCTGAGTGCTGCTGTGCGCTCTCCAGAGAAGGTGGGCGGGGGTAGAATATTTTGTGTGCTGCTGCACAAGCATGCATCTTAGCAGGATTTACACTTGCCACCCACTCCTTCTGCCTAGCAGAAAGGGACAGCTTGGTACCATTGGTACATATGCATTGGGTGAGCTGTTAGTGTCTACCCTGATGTTGAGGCAGGTAAAGGCCAGAAAAGTTTGAGACTTATTATGGTGACTGTTATTCTAGGTTAATGCTGAATTCTTTTTTTCTTTGTACTTTGGAATAACTACTTAAACCTTAAAAAATAGTTTAGTAGTAGTAAAAATGAACTGTTTTAATAAAAACATTTACTGTTCTGTGCCGGAATGAGTGCATGATATGTTAATAAACAAAAGATGTCCATTCCAGATAGTCTCACTGTCATCTCTTTCCTCATCTTTGACTGTCAGGACACACTGATGATGGCTGGAGAATGGCAAATTGATGGTCCTAAATCCTAGGTATACACCCTCTGAAAACAAGATAACAGATAAAGGTAAACAAAATGTGGGAAAACATTAGGGTGTGGAATGTAGCGTCCTAATGACATAAAAAGCTAAGCACCGGGTACTTGGTAGGGATGTTAAATATCAACTAATTGACTAATCGAATAGTTGATGCATTTTGCATCAACTATTCAATTATTTGATAGGGTACTTTCACCTTTGAAAAAGAGCATCTAGATTACATTATGCGGATCAGAAAATCGATCTGCTTTTTCAAAAAAGAGCGTCCTGACTGCTGGACGCTCTTTCGAAAAAAAAAAAGCCACCGAGAACCGCTTCTGCCAGAGCATGGGGGCAGCATTTCCTTCCGGGTGCTGCTGCCTGCCCTTTGCAGAGACATGTGGTTAAAGGGACCCCTTTGAACACCTTTTGCTCTGCTCCTGCCTTTGCTGTCCCTCTAGGAGGTAAGCAAGGTATTGCAGTGCTTGTTTTGAGTGCTCAGCTTCCCAGGACACCACAGAAGGTTTTTTTGTTTGGAGGTTTTTCTGATTTGGATCCCTTTTTTTGCCATGGAGCCAGAGCTGCCCCTGAGCAGGCAATGGCCCCACACCATCATACTGCAAGTTTTGCTGCATCTGCATGACCCAATCATGAGGCAACTTCCCCATCTGGACCCAGACCAGAGGTACGAAAGGTTCGCCCGTCATGTAGCCCCACTGCCCTTGCCTCCAAACTTCTTTGTGGAGAGGCATTTTTGGAGGCTTGACACTAGCTCTGACTGGTGGGACCGGCTTGTTATGAAGCTGTGGGATGACCAGCAGTGACTAAGCAACTTCCGGATGCAGAAGGCCACTTTCCAGGAGCTGTGTATCTGGCTCTCCCCCACTCTGCAACAGCAGGACACCCACCTGCGGTCCGCCATCCTCCTGGAAAAGAGAGTCGCTATTGCCCTCTGGAAGCTGGCCACCCCCAACAGCTACCGTTCCATGGGACACCAGATTGGAGTGGGTAGGTCTACTGTTGGGTCCATTCTGATGGAGGTAAGTCATTGTAGGGGGATAGTCACAGTTGTGGGGGGTAAAAAAGGGAGACTGTCAGGAAAGGGCAAGGCAGAGTGGGGGATGGGGAAAGTGGGAGTGGGAGGGAGCTCCACCACTTACCCTGAGCTGCTGGGGAGGGGAGTGGGTCTGAGGAGGAGATTCCTGGGGTGCTTGAAGGGGAAGGTGGGTGGTGAGTTCTCCTCCCAAGAGATCAGGTACCCCTTCTAAAATTTTGTTGTCTATTTGTTTCATTCTGCAGGTGGTGAAGGCCATCAGTTCCAAGCTGCTGAACAGGCTCGTCCATCTAGCAGACCTGGACAGTTTGCTGCCCTTGACTTCCCGAACTGTGGAGGAGCACTCGATGGGACACACATTCAAATCCGTGCACCGCCCCATCGAGCAGCCCAATTCATTAACAGGAAGGACTACTTTTCAATGGTCCTGTAGGCCCTGGTTGACCATCATGGCCAGTTTACTAACATTTGTATTGGGTGGTCGGGGTGGGTACATGATGCCCACTTCTTCAGGAACTCCTACCTCTACCAGAGGCTGCAGGCAGAACATTTTTCCCACGTTGTGACTTTGCGGTTGGGGACACGCACATACCGTTGTGCATAGTGGCTGATGCTGCCTACTCCCTGATGCTGTGGCTGATGAAGCCCTACATTGGCCACCTGGGTACTAGCAAGGAGTAGTTTAATGCTTATCTTAACCGGGCTTGCAACCAAGTGGAATGTGCATTCGGATGTTTAAAAGGGAGATTCCGGTGCTTGCTCACACGGCTAGAAATGGGGGAATGCAACATTCCTGAGGTGGTGGCCATGTGTTATGTTCTCCATAACCTGATGGAGAGGAAAGGGGAGGCCTTCCTACCAGGGTGGAGTACAGGTGCTGATGGTCAGGAGAGGCACTTTGACCAGCCACGGACAGCTGCCATCCGCCAAGCTCACCGGTCTTGTGTTTGCATCCGGGAGGCCCTACAGGAGCGATTCTCTAATGGAGGACACTGACTCTCCTGAGGGCTTCCTGTCTGGGGGCTTGGCCCTGGCCCAATACAACCTTCCCTCCTGAACCCTCACCCTGACCCTGTTTGTAGAAATAATAAACACCAGATTTTGTCTGAAAAGATTAACTTCTGTTTTATTGTCATAAATATCAATAACTGAAAGAATGTAGAAATGTTGCAAACATATAAAATCTTTTGTTTATTGTACATAGTTTTTTTTCTCAAAGCATACTTTCTGCATCAAAAATAAACATTTTCTTAAATACCCAACATTGTGTTTACCCAACATTGAGGTGGTGGGGGTGCTTAAAACCTGGAGGAGAGAAGGGGATCAGGTTGCCTGCTGCCTCGCGTTCGGGGTCCTACATAGCCTCAGGATTGGGTGGGGTGATTGACTGTTGGCTGGACAAGAGAGGGTAGGTGCACTTGGCTCTGGGAGGCCTGGGGAAGAGGGGCGGCTGAGGGACTGTGGGGGACTGGGAAACTGTGGGGGCTGGGGGAGAAGGAGGTACAAGGGGAGAAGGGGTTGGTGCTGTGGAACGGGTGTTTGGTGGGGCAGGGTCATGGTGTGCTGGAGGAGCAGGACCAGGCACAGAAGCAGGCAAGCCACAGACCTCCCTGAGAGTGGCACACAGGGACGTGCGCTGCTGGACAAGCTCCTCCATCAGCCGATCACGCCA